GGTAGTTGCTTCTTTTCGCGTCGGAAAGAAGCCTGCGGAAATGATGGCCTGGTTTGGGTTGAAGAAAACCATGGACATTTGGAGGAAGTGGAAGTCGTGTGAGAACAAGGACGAGTTTACTGCCAAACGAAAGGCCCACAACGTTCGTTCTTCGGCCGTTAGGACCGACGAGTTCGTCGCCGCCGTCAAGGAGACAGCCGGCAACGATGGAAGCCAGAGCTACGCCAAGATCGTCGCTGGCATGGGCTGTCACAAGTCGACGATCTGCCGAACGATCAAGAAGGACATTGGTTACTCGTCCAACCGCAAGTCTCACCGCATACTCAGCACGAATGCCTCCAAGGAGTCGAGGAAGGTCAAGGTGACGGCTTTGCTAAACGAGCTCAAGCACGGGTCCGCCGGGATGCTGAGGTTCTTCTCTGATGAAAAGAATTTCATCCAGGACTGGACGAGCAACAGGCAAAACGACAGGTGTATCTGCAAAATCATCGAGGTGATTCCCGTCATGAAGCATACGAAGTTCTTCTCCGTCATGGTCCTTGGGGTCATCTCCAGCGAGGGGAAGGTCATGCCTCCATTCTTCTTTCAAAAGGACATGAGAGTCACCGCTGAGATTTACCATGAGGTGCTGAGGAGCGTGGTGATGCCCTGGATAGACGAGATCGCCACCGGACGCCCCTAAGTCTTCCAGCAGGACTCCGCCCCTGCACACAAGGTCAAGACGACCCAGGCTTGGCTGCTCAACAATGTTCCTCACTGTTCGCCGGACTTGTGGCCGCCCTCCTCACCCGATCGCAACCTCCTTGACTATTTCTTCTGGGACGTGATTGAGACCAAGACCAACAAGAAAGCCCACAACACGGCTGCCATCGTGGAAGGGTTCACCGCTATGGAAAAGGACATGGTCGCCAAAGCGTGTTATGCATTTCGCGCCCGCCTTGAGATGGTCGTCGCCGCTGCCGGCGGTTACATTGAAAAATAATGTAGTATGTAACTGTTGCTAAATAAACTGTCGGGTATCTGCATATACAACTTTTGTTTTTATTACCTATTTCGTTTTCTTTTTGTCAAGTGTTGGATTTTGGTGCAACACCTTGTATATATATCATAAAATATATATTTATAAATATATAGACACACACATATACATATATATACATATACATGTATATATAGATATACATACATATATGTGCATACATATATACATATAAATATGTATATATACACACATATAAGCATATATATATATATATATGCATATACATATATACATATAAATATAAGGATTTGAGATAATTATAATTCACTGAGTCTAGAAGAAAGCTCAACAGAATTCAGAAAGCACTAGACGGCCGTTTCGTCTTATATTTGGTACTCATCAGCGGTGCGCATCCATTACCGAGAATTGAAACCCAAACATCATACCAACCGTACCAACCGGCGCCGGTGACGAAGAGGTAGCGAATTAGACTCAATATATAGCGCCGCTCGATCACATATTCCGTGGTGGAACTCATCCGAGTTTCCGTTACCCATAGGACTGTGCCCCAAAGAGCCACGACTACTATCTCCAAGCCGCTCCATACAGAGCATTAGAAGCCGGTTCAAAGATTTGACATAATTATAATTAAGTAATACATCGAGTCTAGAATCTAAATCCTCCTAATAATTTTCTATCACTTGTATATCCTTGCTTGAACCGGCTTCTAATAGAGCGGCTTAGAGATAGTAGTCGTGGCTGGTGGGGGCACAGTCCTATGGGTAAGGGAAACGCATTTGAGTTCCACCACAGAATATCTGATCGAGCGGCACTATATACTGCTGATGAGTCCCAAATATAGGACGAAACGGCCGTCCAGTGGTTTCTGCATTCTGTTGACGTTTCTTCTAGATTCGATGAATTACTTAATTATAATATATATATATATATATATATATATATATATATATATATATATATATATATATATATGTATGTATGTATGTATTTAAATAAAAAGAAAGAACAGTAAGATATATAATCCGGTGTTCTTAATTGCAAAATTAAATTCGTGGCTTTTTAGCTTCCATTTTTGAAACATGGTTAGAAACTGTGTAGCGGAAAAAACATATTTTAAATCAATTAATTTATAATATATATATATATATATATATATATATATATATATATATATATATATATATATTGAGAGAGAGAGAGATGTATATATCTCTCTCAGGCTGTCTGTCATTGCTGACTTTCTATCTGACGCTGTCCTTCTATCTCCGTCCGAGATCTGGGCTGCCAAATGAAATCGTCACAAAAACAAATTGTAGTTCTGCGCGACGCGTTTATGTACGAACAGCCCCTTTAGAAAAAAAAAATTTTTAGACACTTAACGGCGTACAATGGTGCCAATAAGTATCTGTCGCTAAGACGGACTAAACGATGAGCGTATTGGAATATCATCATTTGCTTTGAAATGCACACCCCGACACTGCCTTGACTTGGCCTCTTTCCTAGGATGACTGATATGTTGATAAAAATTGTTAACTCTTACGCCTCCTATTGGACTGGTCGCTTCAGCCGTTTCTATAGTAATTAATTCTACGAATGAATTATAAAGATGCGTAAACTTCAAGATTAGTTATTCCAAAAATTTCGCTTGAGGATGAAACAGAGCTTTTGGCTCTTGTTTTTGAAACATGAGAACTCTTATGTAGCGAAGGAATCATATTTTTTAAAAAAATAATTATAATTATAATTTAGGCTCTACTTTTGTGTTGAGCACTGTTTTTTAAAAAATAAAAACAAAAATACTAAAGAACTTCGGGTTATTTACCTAACGTGTTCTTACCTATTTTTCTATATATTTGCACACATACACACGCACACACACACATATATATATATATATATAGAGAGAGAGAGAGAGAGAGAGGGAGAGAGAAAGAGAGAGAGAGAGAGAGAGATGTCTCTCTCAGGCTGTCTGTCATTGCTGACCTTCTATCTGACGCTGTCCTTCTATCATTGTCCGACTTATCTGGGCTGCCAAATGAGACAACAGCCCGATCCGTGAAGGACATGTTCTCGGGCACAGGTGGCAGGGAAACATGCCCGGTGCGAAATTGACAAGTTGCAGATGACGCTGGCGTCGCATCCCCTCGAGTGCTCCTCGTCTCTCCTCCTAAAGTGAACCACTCCGGCAACACGGAGAGACCGCCAGCCGATCCGATCCTTTGCGAGGTTCTCAAATTGTGTCAGGTCAATGTTACAGGAGACAAGATAGTCTCGGAATCGTTTCTTTGGGCCTCCTCCTCGTGTGTGGCTGTCGGTTTCGAGCTCTCCGGTGGGAGGCGATGATCCGACATCCGCACAACATCTCCAACCGAACGTAGAACGTAGAATTTGAATAAAAAAAGTAAACGACAGCCAAATTTATAAAGCAAAAGCCATAGTCTCCCGATTGACCGTATCAAAGGCTTTATTTAGGTCAACGAAAGCAAAATTAAAACTCTCTTTGCTGCTTCCTGCTTTTTTCGAGTAGTAGACGAGCGACGAATATCATGTCGCGGGTACTACGGTCAGGTGTGAAGCCACATTGAGATGCCGGCAGAATTCGTTCAGTCAGAAAGACGAGAAGACGTGCGAAGCGTAATACACGCGAGAATCTTCCCGGCCACATAGTGGAGGGAAATACCTCTGCTTTTGCCGCAGATGGAGCGACACCTTTCTTGTAAATTCTTATGATATTCGCGTGTTTCCATCGCTTAAGGATCATTCTGCTTGTCCAGCACAGGTCAAAAAAGGAATGCAGACATTATGCAAGGTGCGGTCCGCTATACTTTTACACCTCTCCCGGAATACCGTCATCACCGGGGGACTTCTTGTTTCTTATGGATCTTATGGATCTTAACTTCATCTAATGGCGAAACAGAGTCCAGCTCAGGGACGCCCGGGAGAATCGGAAGTTCGAGTAAAGCTGACGAACCAATCGGCATGTCTCTGTTCAAAAGTTCCTGGAAGTGCTCAACCCATCGTGTTAGGATTTCTTCTTTTTCCTTGAGCAGAGTAGAGCCATCAGCGGATCGAACAGGTGCTATGTCATTGCGAGAAGGACCGAAGATACGATTAATGGAATCATAAAACTCGTAAGTTTTGGTTTCGTCAACAAAACATTGAATTTCTTCAGATTTGCGGAGCCACCACTTGTTTTGATCTTCCTGAAGCTTCAGTTGTGCCTCTGCTCGTAGCCGGCGCCAGTTTTGGGCGTGAGTACGAGAAGGTAGATGTGCAAGATGAGCGTTGTGGGCCTGATTCTTTGCTTTCAGAACTGGTTGGATAACTTCCACGGGTTCGTCGAACCAACCAGGGTTCCTACGCTGAGTTTTTCCAAGCTTAGTCTCAGCGGTTTGCCGGATAGCTAGGATAGCGGAGTCTCATAGACTGTCGACTTCCTGTTAATCATTAACATCGGTGGGAAGTACTGGAAGTGATTGACAGAGGTTGAGTAAATTCGCTTGAGGTTCGATTGGTTTTTATGCTTGTTCAAGATAGGCAACATTGAGTGTAGGGGCGACTTTGGTTTTGCGGACTGGAGACCGAAGCGAGAGATTCATACGTATCATACGATAATCAGTACAGCAGTCCGCTCCACGCATGGAGCGAGTTTGAAGGACATCTTTTCGATCACGTTAATGGTCGATTACGTAATCCAACAGGTGCCACGTCCGAGAGCGCGAATGCATCCAAGAAAACTTGTATTTGTTCGAGTGCTGAAAAATGGTATTGGTAATCATAAGCTGATGCTCGGCACAAAGGCTTAGAAGACAGAGACAATGACTCACGCCCAGACTGACGTATTGGAGACAACTCGAGCATTAAAATCTCCAAGGAGGATGATTTTGTCTGTCCGAGGTAACGCTCGTAGGGCTGTGACGAGAGAGTCATCGAAAGCATCTTTTATCTCTTCAGATCCCGGGTCGGTGCATCCACAGTGAAAATGGTTGCGTAGACTTTATTGGAGAGAGGCATTCTGAGGGTCATTAGTCATTCGCTGTGCCCACATCGGAACAGAAAGGAGGTTGAGCGAACCAGCGAGCCCAAAACCGTGGACTCGACTTTCTCTGGAGGGAAGAACTTTCCAGATATATGCATATCCCTTGCCCTCCTTAGTTAGAGAACCTTTACCAGGGAATCTTGTTTCGCTGAGTGCAGTGATACCTACATTGTAGCGCTTGAGTTCAGATGCAATCAGCGCAGTTCTTCGATATGGTCTAATATGAACGTGACAGTCCAGGATGGTTTGTATATTCCCGGTAACAAGAACGAAAGATTTCAACTTCTTTCGTCGACTGCGATAAGGGACGACCAGATGCGGCCTCCTGGCCAGTTGAGTTGGAGCCAGCATCTTTTAGGCCACCCTTTATAGGTTACCTCCTCGTGTGAGGCAGGCGGTGCCCATCCTTGAAAAAGGTCCGCCTGGTCGCGCAAGTAGGACACGAGACGATGCGTAGTCCCAGTGGCGCAATGAAACGGTCATCTTGCTTACACCGCCAACGTGTAGGCTTCGAACTAAGGGCTACCAGTATTATCCTGTGCCTACCCTCGTCGCCCGTTGCAGCAGGACTTTTGAAAGAAAAAAAAAAAGAAACAAAAGGGAAACACCGAGAGCGCTGCGGGGGTGCTAGGATTGCGCAGTCCAAGCCACGCGCACTTAGCTCCCGGAAAAAAAAAACGATTTCAGTGGCAGGGAGATGACCCAAGATGACCGGGGGGTTGTCCGAGAGTTGAAGCGGGCTGCCGAAGTTCAGGTCTGTTTGGGTCCGCCTTAGTGCATGCCTACAAATGGACAAAGTCTGGCTGCCGAGACGCTTCGATGGAATTTCCTCCACCAGAGTTCCACTACCCTCCTTAGAATCCCAGCGGTCGGCGTTGCTTTGGTAAGATTAGTTTAAGCTATATACCCAAACCTGGGACCTAACAGGTGCTAGTACCTCGGGTCAGGGTGGACCTGGAAACAACACCAATTAGGAGGTGATTCCACACTCCACAAAAATTCCCGATCAAAAACCTTGCAGCTGGATGCAGTTTATCGTCATACCCAGGACAATATATATATATATATATATATATATATATATATATATATATATATATATATATATATATCTGTGTGTGTGTATGTATGTATACATATATGCATACATATATAAAATTATACATGTATATATACGTATATATATATATATATACATATATATGTACATATATATAAATGTATATATGCATATATATACATATGCATATATCTACACACAGACATATATATATATATATATTCAACATATGAAATAAACAGAAACTGAATGTCTATTGTGTCTGATCATGGGTCGTTCTAAAGTTTGTATGTTTGCTTTAATTTTCGGTGAAAATACAGCCAAAAATTAGCCAACACTTGGATACTTTTTTTAATAAGTTGTGCCTAAGGTTTTAAGCCCACATGAACTATCTTCAGTGTGGTTATACGGACATTGAAACAAAAATATCCACTATCAAAGATGATATTTTTATAATCACACACACACATATACACACACACACATATATATATATATATATATATATCACATACATATACATATACATCATATATATTTATTATATATTTATACATAAATTATATATATATAGATATAGATAGATAGATAGATAATTATTAGTGGAAAATATACATACATATGCAAAATATATAAATACCCATACATGTATATTTTTAGAAAAAAAATTCCAAGAGGAAGAATCCAGGTAGAACTCAATGTCTAAGACAGAGTAAGGATATAATAAAAAGGCTTAAACACAAATATTCCATGGTCGTAATTTATTCCATTGGAATCGTAAATACGATCCAATTCATCAGACCTACAAATTCAAAAAGAATTTTGAATTTGTAGGTCTGAATTTGAATTGGATCGTATTTACGATTCAATGGAATATATATATATATATATATATATATATATATATATATATATATATATATATATATATATACATTTTTTTAAGCATTTCATCCCAAGCTCTGCCGGAGTGCCAGTAACACGCAAGGGATTACATGGAGTCGGAGCAAGAGTTAAGGGGAATAAAGAGTTTCAGGAAAGGAAAAAAAGAATGATGGGGATTAGACGAAGGCATCAGATGCCGATTGACATTACATTTGAATATTTGAAGTCTATAACTGTCATGGAAGCAAGTTGGAGTCGAATAGTCGGCTACATTTACTAGTGAAAGATGCCCAAACTAGTAACACGCTTAAATTCATGCAATTTGGAACCAGCAATAATAGCTTCTTTGAGCAGTTACCGTAAAAGTACTTATAGAAAAGACAGAGGAAAGCGACGGCACGTTTGTAAGAAAATGAGTAGATGAGATGTCAGTTGAAGAATAAACAAATGCATATATATATATATATATATATATATATATATATATATATATATATATATATATACCATAATATATATCATAATATATACCTATATACATACATACATATCATAAATATATATATATACATACATAAATATCATAGATATATATACACATATACATAACATAATATATATATATACATATCATATATATATATATATATATATATCATATATATACATATAAATATTTATATGAATAACATAAATATATATACATATCATATATATATATATAAACACATATCATATAAACATATCATATATATATATATATATATACATATATCATATATATATACATATCGTAAATATATATACATATCATATATACATATACGTATCATAAATATATATATAGATATATATATATATATAAATATACATATTATATATACATATATATACATATCATATATACATATATATATATACATATATGTCATAAAATATACATATATATCACATCATATATATATATATATATATATATATATATATATATATATATATATATATATATATATCACATGTATGTAAATAGATACACACTTTTATTGAGGTAAGTTTGCAGCAAATTTAAATTATGCTTCTTTAGTTTAATTTCTTTACTTTATCTGAAATCTTTTCTACCTCGTTATCTTACCATTCAGTTTTTATCCTATCCATTTTGAAAAGGAAGTACGTAAAACACACAAACGATTCATATTGTATTGTGGATATTTGAGATTATTCACTTTTTAATTATAAGCTACTTGTTTCCAGCCTGAATCGAATTAGTCTACTTTCTGGATAAAACGTATTTTCCAATACAAGACTATTTGTTTACTTTAGTTTTTGCTTGAAGGTGAGCGCGCGCATTATGCATGGGAATGTATTTGAATTTGTTTCTTTTTGTAATGTCTCGGCGTACTAAACGGTTAAAAACCGAATATTTTTAAAATCGTCAAAGTCACTTGGAAAGCAAGAAAGAAAAGGTCTTATCCTTTTGATGAAACGGTGATAGGCAAACAGAAAAGATAAGACAGAAAAAGTAAGAGATAACGGTCGAAAGAGAAGAAAAAAGTTCAACTGAATAGAAAAGAGAAGAAAGAGATCACAATAAAGAATAAAGGATAAAACTCATGCGATCATAGTAATAGAAAGTATGGGGGGGTTAGGGTAGGCGGCGAACGACGCGCTTTTATGAAACTCGAAGTGCGTCGGTGGCTACGCATGCTAAGCCTGCCCCGTTCATTGCAATATCCCCTCCCAGCCTTTATGTTCTCCTCCTAGTCTATGTGGTGGTTGGACGCACGCCTGTGATGATGAGAATGAAGCAATTCTCCAAAGGTGGTAGAAATATTTGAGAGTGGATATGTAGCAGTGGCGGTGCTGATTTCGGTGGTGAATGGGTTTTCAATGCATCTTAACTCTTTTTTTTTTTCGTCTTCCGACTCTTTCTGCTACTCATTGTCCAACCCCTTGGCAAGAATCCCAGATATCCCTATCTCGAGAGCTTCAAAGGTATTTTAGGTATGTTTATTCTCTCTTTCTCTCTCTCTCTCTCTCACTCCCTTTCTCTGGTTTTCTCCTTCATATTTTTTTTGTTCATTAATTAGTATAAAACATGTAACAATTTGTTGCTAGAATAGTAGATTGAGGTCCATTACTCGACCGAAGGGAAGCCCTGGAGCAAGCCAGAAAAGACTAGAACAGAAAGCTTTGAACAAGGAATCCTACAAGAGCGGGAAAAAGGCATTCTTAAGATACGAGGCACTCAACGACGCCATTAAACACAAGATCTGAATGAACTTTCTTTTCTTTTTTTGATAAGAGACATTGACCATTTGCCAATTCTTTAAAAAAAATCTTAAAGAAGAAAAAACGTCAAAAATGCTTCGAATGGCTGGCCTGATCTCTAAACAACCATCTGCCATCTGTTGTGTCTTTCTGTTCCTAATCATCATCAGGTATGTAATAATTTGCTTTATTCTTCTGTATCCGAAGTAAGAGTGAAATTGTTAAGAATTATGTTCGCTGTTGACATTTGTCATTACATTTCTTTATTTAATTATGTCTTTTGACAGCTTCACCTTAATTGACATTTCCATCTCTTTCTGCATTGACACGTACATTTTCAGTTAGAGTAAAACATTAAACCAACAAGATGGCCTCCATGAAACCATATTTATATATATTTATTTATATTGAATTGAAGCATTTTTGAGCTAAGAATAAATCCACACATTTAACCAGGATTCCCTTCCAGACTCTCAGTTATGATAAAATGCATATATAGCATGAGAAATCGTACTGACCCAGATATCTCTCAATATGGTAATTGGTTGATCAGAACCGGGAAATAAAACATGTAGATATCTTTGGGAAATGGTAGTTTTTACAAGTACCAGAAAAGTTAGTATTATTGTATATGTAAACCTGTGTTCGCATATTTAACATACCCGTAATGCACAATTTCCATACCAGCTCTCTTTCTCATATATATATATATATATATATATATATATATATATATTATAATTATTTATTTAAAAAACTACAACATAAATATGTTATAAAATCACTACAAAAATAGCCATTTTGTTTCAACACCTCCGGTGTCTTATCAAGTGATGATGTTATATATATATATATATATATATATATATATATACAGACGACTAATTATTCCATTAAAATATAATTTCAGTTAAATGCAGATTATCATTGATTTTTTTAATTACAGATCAGTATCCTATAGACAAAGCACATATCGTGTACATGTTACATTTTTCGGATCTTATTAAACTGTGACAGGTATACGCGTATTCAAAAGTTTCATGGTGATAGAACCGAGTGGTCAATTATGAACAAATGCTAAATTATGAAAGACATTACAACGATAACAAAAAAAAAATGATGTCATTACACACTAACTTCTTTTTTTTATTGTTTAAATATTGAAATACTTGAATGCATTTGATGAAGAGAATCGGTTTTATTAATCTTGTTATTATTCAAAATTATATGGAGGCGGAAATATGAAACTCTCACTGTATCTCCCAGAGAAGCAATATACGTGGTATATATCTTTGAAGAGATATGAATAGCAAGTAGCAACAACGTACAACGTCGTCATCACATTATGGTGTAATGATTAAAAAGCTCGTCTTACAGATTATTACGAATGAATTTCATTCTCACTGGTTGACTTACTCTTGGTGCCCTATGCTAAAACTAAGTTATGCTTAATGTATAACAGCAAAGTACGACATATATGTGCATCTGTTTCAGGACTCAACGCAACATACATGGCTGAAGATTGCGTTCAAGCAAGAAACAGACTGTCGCCACACGGTGTTGACTTCAGTGGCCACTTTTATATTCATGCACGCTCTATCCCTGATATTAGATACTTTTACCAATAAATATAGCATACATTAAGACTATATATCATTCATGTATATATATATATATATGTGTGTGTGTGTGTGTGTGTGTGTGTGTGTGTGTGTGTGTGTGTGTGTGTAGGATATGTATATATCTGAATGATACAAATATAGGCATAAGGTATGTACATAAATGGTGCGATGGACAAATTGAAATATAAATTACACAAACATGAAAAAAACACTGACATCGCATTTTAACAGATATATTTGCCAAAATTACACAAAAATATCTTGAAATACGAAAGAGTAAATTTATTCAATAAAATCGCCATTGGCTTCAACGATGGTCTCCAGACAACTTCAGAATCTCCTGCAACTCTTCTGGACGATCTCCTTGTTTAAGTTGGTGAATGCTGCCATAATCTTTGCCTTTAGTTCATCGTTGTTATTACAAGGAGTTTTGTTGGTCTCTTGCTCAATTGCGCCTCACACATAATAAAGGAGGGTCAATTTGGGGATTAGATGGCCAGGAGTAAGGGTTGAGGCGGTCATAGAAATTGTCTGGCAGACATGACTGGGTTCTCCTGCTTGTGTGGCATGATGCAGAATTCTGTCGCCAGATATAGGGTCTTCCAGCAGCCAGCCTCTTTATTCAGGGCAGCACTACCTCCTCAAGGCCCTTAATGTAGACCCCCGTGTCGAGTCTGAGGCCCTTACCAACAAATTCTGAAGTTCTTTTCTTATCAGAGCGATCAGAATGAGTTTTCCGAACTGCCATATCTTCGTAATCACCATTCAACTCTTTCAGAATCCTTTGCACTGTCCTCAAATTAAACCCAAACAATCTGAAATGTTCGTATTGGAGCTTCCGACGCGAATGTCAGGCAGTAAAGCATGCCGTTTCCAAATTTCTAGCGGAATGAATTGCGTCATGGGGCACTTTTTTCTCATGGACGGTGCCCAACTGACATTATGATACTGTGCAGTCGACAAAACCAAAAACAAACATTGCGCATGCGCAAAATAAATATATAATATGGTGACAATTTACCCATCGCTCCCTGTATATATATATTGTGTTTGGACGATATGTGTGTGTGTGTGTGTGTGTGTGTGTGTGTGTGTGTGTGTGTGTGTGTGTGTGTGTGTGTGTGTGTGTGATGACAAGGATATTCTTTCTATATTTATGTTTTTTTTATTCAATTGCCATGAGAAATTACAACATTTTCGGCTACTCCATATCAAACACTAACGAAATATTTCATAGTTTGATATTGACCTGGTCTAAATTTCAAATTCACTCGACGTTAATAACCTCATTGAGAGAATATATGAACGCTTCGAGACCATTGTGCCGGGATCAAAGCGTGGTATCTGTTCTCCTCATTTTAGATAGGAGAACGCATATGTTCCCGAGGATTACAACCGTACGTTGTACGTTGTATGTTGCACAGAGATGAGGAATCAGTGTAGTATCAACGCCAGTGGTCACGAGGACTGGACAATTTTTGTCCTTGGCCCATATGTACAAGTATGTGCACCCCACATAAAAAGACCTTGTTCCACATCCTGCACTCGTGGGGTGGTCAGATAAATAATATTTGACCATTTCAGGCATCTAAAACTAGAAGGATGTGCTTAAAGTTAATATTCAGCCTTGTTTAATCGAAGACGCTTTTCGTAGTCGAGTCGGTTAAAAGCATGTCGGATCTAACATTTTCATATATATATATATATATATATATATATATATATATAATGAAAATTAAAAATATGTCTACTTTTCAGTAACTTTTAAACTGTCTACAATAGACCATCATTTATTATAGATTTATATCCTTAAAAATGGTTAATAAATTAGCCGAAAGTGGTGTGGATCAAAATATTTAGAAATGTATAATTAAAAAAAGTAGAAAAGTAATAAACCTGTCTTTGTTTCAAAAGACATTTATTAAAGTATGATAAAATACAGATATAATAGAATGTAGGTATATTCAATACTTCGCTAAAAAGGAGCATATCCTGATGAAAAAAGGCCTCAAACTTGACAAACAATTTTTTATCGTCTAAATGTTTATGTTATTATTAAGAGACAAGATCAAAGTATTTTTTGATTATTTTTTTAAATTTTTCAATCCTTCCTCGACATCCGAAATTTTAGTTAAAAATCTTGTTTGTTTTTGTTTTGAGTCAGCAAAATTGACATAAAATCGATCATGTCAGCCATTTTTGACAACTCTGTGAAATTCTCCGTTTAAAAATCTTGGAAAATATACTATTTTGAAAAGTTATTTTAGGAAAATTAGAATATTCAAAGTTTAGTTAATGCAATTGGATACGAACATTACTTAATTTTTTTAGCAGAAAATTTTGTTGGAAATTAGAGACGCGTGTCTAACAGTCGTCATTGTTTTTGGAGGCGTTTACGTCAGTATATAGACAACTAATGTCAGGGCAATTTATCGGACAGAAGGACAGAAGTGACAGTATTTTCGAATTTTAAGCGAACCATCTTATTTAACTATAAAGTAATTCTTCAAAATTAAATACTTTCAAAAGTTTAATATTTTATTGATTTTTTAGGTTCTTTTTTTAACGAAGATATGTCCAAAGTCTGCACTGTTTCCGTCCCTAAAACTGAATCTAAAAAAGAAAAAATAATTACAGTATGTCTTTCACTGAAAAAGAAAAAATTGA